GGTCCCCGGGTTATAACAACGGTTCCCGCCTGAGACGTCCTCACAATTTAGCCAGGACCCCCGCTCCCGCCTGCGACTTCATCCCAACTTACTCAGGAGTCGTGTTCTCACTTGGGGCTTCCTCGCTATTTATTCAGGAATCGCTCTCTCGGCGCTCTGGAATCGCGTTTTCGCTGAAGATTCGCTCGCGATTTACTCTAGGATCGCACTCTTGCGCTGGATCCCCCCGTAATTTACTCAAGCGCCACGCTCCCGACATTCAAGACCCAGAAGTCGCGCTCACGCTTAGGACCCCCTCGCAGAGAACTTAGAGAATCGGGGTATCGCTGCCCGCCGTGGCCCCGTTGTAGCCCTTCGTGGCCCCCTCGCTGCCTTTCGTGGACACGTTGCAGCCCTTCGTGGCCCCGTTGGATTTCATCGCGGCCCCCTCACTGCTCTTCGTGGACCTGTGCAAACCTTCGTGGCCCCCTCGCTGCCCTTCGTGGCCCCGTTGCAACCCATCGCGGCCCCCTCGCTGCCCTTCGTGGCCCCGTGGCAGCCCTTCGTGGCACCCTCGCTGCCCTTCGTGGCCCCGTTGCAAGTCTTCGTGGCCCCCTCGCTGCCCTTCGTGGCCCCCTCGCTGCCCTTCGCAGCCCCCTCGCTGCCCTTCGTGGCCCCGTTGCAGCCCTTCGTGGCCCCCTCGCTGCCCTTCGTGGCCCATATACGCATGCCCTTCGTGGCCCCCGCTCGTTAGCGCGCGTCGTGGCTCCATATATGCATGCTCTTCGTGGTCCCGCTGTCGCTCTTCGCGGCCCCCCCGCTGCCGTTCGCGGCCCCGTTGCTGCCCTCAGTGACCCCGTCCTCGCCGTCTGCGGCCCAATATGCGCACGCCGTTCGTGGCCCCCGCTCGTTCGCGCCCTTCGCGGCCCCGTCGCAGCCCTTCGTGGCCCCGCCGTCGCCCTGCGTCGCCCCCTCGCTGCCCTACGCGACCCCGTTGCTACCCTCAGTGGCCCCGTCATTGCCCTCTGCGGCCCCGCATTATGTTCCTTCGTGGCCCCCGCTCGCCCGCGCCCTTCGTGGCCCCATGCGCATGCCCTTCGTGGCCCCGCTGTCGCCCTTCGTGGCCCCCCTCCTGCCCTTCGTGGCCCCACTGTCGCTCTCTCTCGCTCTCGCTTTCGCACGTCGTCGTCGTCGTCGCCGTCGTCGTCGTCGTCGTCGCGGTCGGTCCCCTGTCCGTCCCTCTGGGGGTCGGGCTGCCGCCGCTCAGCGCTGCCGCTGGCCAGGCCGACGGTCCGCACCCACCCCGCCGCTTGCCGGGGCCTGGCCTGCAGGGAGCAAACATATACAACCCAAAAGAGGGACGATCGAATACGAAGAGGGCGGGTATCGAGTGTTTGGGAAATTCGCGTTGAATGACACTCGGGCAAATCAGAGCGAACAACCTAACAAAAAGTGTCGTTGCTGTTGTTGTTGTTGATGTTGCCGTTGTCGTTGATGTTGCTGTTGTTGTTGATGTTATTGTTGTTGCTGTTGTTGAAAATGTTGATGTTGTTGCTGAAATTGCTGTTATTGTTGTGATTGGTGTTGGTGTTTGTTGTTTGTTGGAAATTTCTTGTCGTCATCCCCCCGCGACCCGGCCCACAACCCACCTGCGACCCACCCGCGACCCATCCACAGCCCAGCCCGCGACCCACCCCACGACCCGCCCGCGACCCACCCTGCGACCCACCCGCGCCCCACCCGCGACCCACCCTGGGCGACACCCCGCGACCCAAACACATTGCTTTAATGAAAAAATCGGCGCCTGTGGCGAACTCGTTGTACACTTTGAAACAATAGGCGCCTGCGGCGGGCTTATGTTTCCCTCGCTGTCTCGCTCGGTTTCGGAAACATTGGCTGCCTCATCTCCTCAGCCTGCAGCCCTGGCTCGCGCGCAGGAGCGAGCTACAACCCGCCACGCCTCTGCCCGTGGCAGCGCAGTCTGCTCCCAAGAAACGACGTGGGAGCGGGAGTCAGGTGCGCCAACGAGGGGGGCCAGGACGAGCGGCCGAGGGGTCAGAGCCATGCGCGCGGACTACTTTGGGGGGGTGGGGGAGAGCAACGGGACGTGTTGAAATAAGACGAGGAAGGGGCGGAGGGGGCCATGAACTCCGTGAATTATCCCAGACCCAAGCATGAGACCCACACGCCCATCGTCTTCCCCCCTTTGGGACGCCCCAGAGGGAGACGCGGGACTACAGTCACCGAGCTGCGAACCTCGAGTCCCAGGACACAGCGCTCACACTGTAAATTCCGCCGTCCTCCCGCCGAAACAGAGCTCGACGGACTCCAACCCCTGCAGCCCCCGACCCCGCGACGGCCACCACGGGACAAGGCCGCAGCCCAGCCAGCGCGCAGCAGCACACCCCTACGGAGTCGTCGTGCCACCAAAAGGAACGCCACACAAGGACCGAGTGGTTTTTCTGGCTACGGCGAGCCTCGGCCACGCCACGAAGGTTCCCCGTCCCAGACCTAAGGAACGGCCAAAAAATCAGAGCCCTCCCGGAACTCCAAGCCGTCCTTATTCCAGCGTCTTGACTGCACTGTGTCCGATTCGAAGACTATTGGGCCGATCTGCATCGGATTCGGTGCATAATTAGGCCGGATTAGACGGTTTCAGCGGGATGTGGCGGGAAGGGGGCCAGGTTAGCTGGATTTGACCCAAAGGGATGAATCAACGCCGATGCTGAATTCAAGCTCCCAGGAGTTGCAGCCGAACTACCCCTCCTTCTCAGGAATTGGGACAACAACCGAATCGAGACATCGGATCGCATCAGAATGAGCGTCGGATCGGCCCGCGCCAGAACGGAGTCGGAATCGAATCGGACTGGCTGCACCAGGGTGCACAACGGTACCCGAGCGAGTATCGAGCCGCATCGGATCGCCAGATTATCACAAGCGAATGACCGAGTCGGCCGAAATATCGCATCGGGCCAATCGGATCGACACGGACCCTGCTTCCCTCTCCTCTGCCGTCGCACTGTTTCCGTTGCACGGGCCCCTGGGGGTCTCGACCCTTCCCCAGGGCAGGCTTTGATGGTCCTGGGGCCCGGCGAGAGCACCGGGGGGCAAGAGCACCAGGGGGCAATAACACAACGGAAAACCTCAGGACCCGTTTCCCTGAAGATCCCTGTCCTTAATCGCAAACTCATGCTCCGCATCGTCCAGAGGCCGAAACAAAATACCGCGATCGACCGGATCGAGACTGACCCTACCATCTGAGGGGGTGGGGACGTCTCGCTGGGGGAGCCGCGGACGAGCTCGAGGCACACCACTACCTCGTCGTCGTCGTCGTCGTTCTCCTCCTCCTCCTCCTGGGGAGGCCGGGGCGTAACACGTGGGGTGAAGCAAGCGAGCTCGAGGGGCACTACAACCTCCTCCTCCCCCTTTCAGCGAACCCTGTCAGTGAGGGCTCTATGCCGCGGCGGCGGCCGCCGCGGCGTAGCCCTTCAGTCCAGCGCCTTCATGTGGGCGTCGAACTGGTCCTCCACGAACTCCTTTGCGACGAACGCCCCTCCTTTGCTCGCGAGCTGAGGGGCGTCCGACCTTCTCTAGCCGCCCTCGAGCTCGGCTGAGCTGGCGGCCCCCGTATGTTACACGGGGGGCGGGCCGTTCCCCCCTTCGGCCCGAAGGCTGGGGAAGGCCTCGCCGCGGCGCACGGTGCGCCGCCTCCTTCACTTTGCTTGAGCTCCTCTGTGATGTCGTGCGTGCTGAGCACCGCTTCAAATGTGGTAGGCTCATCACGCCACGCTGCTGAAGACCCTGCTCCTGTCCTCCTTTCAGCGGGCTGCCATGGTCGAGGTGGTGGTTGTTGTTGATGGTGTGGAGGTTCTGGGGTAGATTGTCTTTGTAGTACCTCGCAGCTGGGGACCCTGCTCCTGTCCTCCTTTCTGCGGGCGTGCCATCTGGAGATTGGTTCTGGGGGCCCTGCTCCTGTCCTCCTTTTCAGTGTCTCCATGGCGTACTGATCAAGCCTGGCTGTTGAGGACCCTGCTCCTGTCTTCATTTTCAGCAGGCGCTGTCATGGTTGAGTCGTGCCGCACTGCTGAGGACCCTGCTCCTGTCCTCCTTTCAGTAGGCTGGTAGAATCGAGGTGGTGATGGTGGTTGGATGGGTGGTGGTTGCGGGGTGGGTAATCGGTCGGTGGCGAGTCCCATAGGTTGTGGATGGTCGTCTTGAATGTCTATGGTCAGGTCGTTGGGAGAGCGTATTGTTGCTGGGGTTGTGGTGTGGGTTATGGGCGCACATGAGAGGCCTCCATGCACCGACTTCAAGTGGGGTTCGTGGCGGCCCCACCTCGTCCCGCTATGGCTAGGGGTCACGGTGCCCTCGGTGGGGGCGAACCCCAGGCCTGGTGCTTGCTGTTGTCGTCAGTGGGGGATGTCTCTGCTGCCTTCAGCTCCGCCACATCGGCGATCGGGTAAGCTCCTCCTTCGCCATGGGGATGGTGGGAGTGGCGAGCTAGGGCGGACCGCGGGGGCGCGGTAGTAGTGGCCGTCCTACCCCCCCCCTCTGCCCCTCACTATCCCCCCTGGTAGGCGCGGGCAGTACTCGTCCTGTCCCCCCACCCTTCGAGCCCGTCTCGAAGTTTGATCCTTGCCTCACCATGGCAGCGTTGACTTGTGGCGTGGTGTGGAAGGTGGTACTTTAGTCGTGAGGTGTGTCTGGTCGGTGGTGCTTGGCGAGAGTGGAGTGGGTGCGGCTCGCAAGTACCCGCTGACCTCTTGCACGAGCTGGCGCTGCCTTCTGAAATACTACAAAACGTGGCGATTTGTGCCTGGGGTGTTCCCTCGCCTCCTCCCCCTCCTCCTCCTCCTCCTCCTCCTCCTCCTCCTCCTCCTCCTCCTCCTCCTCCTCCTCCTCCTCCTCCTCCCTCTCCCTCCTCCTCCTCCTCCTCCTCCCCTCTCCCTCCTCCTCCTCCTCCTCCTCCTCCTCCTCCTCCTCCTCCTCCTCCTCCTCGTAAGGAGGGAAAGACGTCCCGCCTAGGGAGCCGCAGACGGGCTCGAGGGACACCACCACCCGGTTGATGACCTCGTCGCCTCGGCGTGCCCCGCCCCTGTCGTCCCCCCCTCCTGTCTCGGCGGGCACGGGCGGCACCTCTCAGAGGCTGCCCCAGGTGGTCCTGGCCCAGGGGCAGGCCCCGGCTTCTCGCGGCTCCTCTCCGTCAGGAAACAACTCCTGGGAGGTCCACGCGTGAGGGCTACTATGCCCGACTCAAGCGCCATAGGCCGGATTGAACCACATCAAACCGAGGACTAAGCCTGATTCAGCGGGAGTGTGCCCGAATAGGCTGTTTCTCGGCAACGGATATACCTGCGCCGATGCTGAATTTAGCATCCCAGGACCTACATCCTAACATCTGTGACTCATGAGGGTATTGCGCCAGTCCCCATCTCATCGCGTCTCCGGGGGACAGGCCTGGGAGCGTTCAGATGAAAAAAACGCGTGATCGACGATCGGACCAAATCGACGATCGATCGGATCAGAAAACGCTACGCTGGGATCGATCGGACCGAGGTGGGCCCCATAGGCCAGCCGAGGCCGGCGCACTGCGCCAGCACGTCGTCGTGCTGCTCCGCGTCGGGGCCGGGCCTCTGGTTGGGCGCCAGTCGGGGGCTCGCATGGCCGGCGTCTCGCTGCCATTCACTCCTGGTCCTGGCTCCCCCCCGAGATCCTGGCGGTGCTACTTTGTCGCAACCACTGGTTGTGCCTTGCTCTTCGGCCCCCGAACCAACCGACCGATGCGGCTTGACATACGCAACAGAAATATGGGGTCCAGGGTTCCAAACAATTTTTTGTGACCGCGGATCTCAGTCCCCTGCGCCATGATCCTACCCCTCCTGGTCCTCCCCCTCCTCACCCCCTCCCCCTAATCATCCTTCTCGCCCTGGTCGTCTTCCTTCTCCTGTGAAACTTCGACAGCGACAAATCGACCAAACTCTTTCATTGTCGCCCCAAGGCGCACATTAAAGATTGATCCTCAACCTGCTCCTCCTCCTCCCCTTGCCTCCTGTTCCATCCCCTCTCCGCCCCCTTCCCACCTCCCAAGCAATACCGAAAGGGGGCCACCACTGAAAGGGTCGCCGCCTCCACATGCAAACGGACCCCAGGACCCCCCCGCCCAACATCACCAATAGGTGCCGAAAACGTCCAGAGCGTTCTCGATCGTTGATCCCTCCTCCTCCTCGATCTTTGATGTATATTGTACGAGGAGGTGGCACCCCCCTCCAATGACCCACCCCTCTTGCATTGCCCGACTCCCCCCTTCCAACGTCGCACCACGTTCTGTGGCGTCGGCTCCTTTTGGGACGTCCAGGAAGGGGGCGTCCGAGGGAAGGCAGGGAGCAAAGTGGAAAACGGGGGCAGGGGAACAAGGAGGAATGCCAAGCTCGCTGCAGGCGTGAGAGGGCATACCGACGCAATGCAATGAAACAACGAAGTCCTATCTGACAAACTCCGCGCCGGGCAGGACAATAACGAATGCACATCCAAATCAACAGCACCACGGATCATATCGCGCCCGCCCAAGAGACGAAATCTGGAGCTAATTCGCGACAGGCAGCGCGGTCTTTAGTTTGTGCAGAACCTCCTAAAGACATGTACAATGTTCATCCGCGGTCGCTGGGACGGCCTCTATGGCCGTTGCCATCTCTGGTTGGCTGTCTGCCATGACGAATCCCGCCGCCCGGTTACGAACATGGCGAGATATGAACATGACATGTGCGCAACACGGCATGCCCACATCCATTTCCTCATGAAATGCTCACGGACCCAATCCTTCACTCTAGCGTCTCGAGCGAACCGTCTGGCTCGACGGATCGTTGTCTGTACTCTGTGTCGCTCAAGTACCCCCCCGGATTACACGCAGCCCCCCCCTGGACAACAGGTACGTTTTTTTTTCCGGACTGCACCCACGCGTGCGTTGACGCGCGAACGCGACTTCCCCCCCAGACTGCAAGTACCCCCCCCTGGACTACAAGTATACCCGTCCCCCAGATTGCAGGCCCCCCCCCGGACTACTGGCCCCCCCCCCCCTGAATACAAGTACCCCCTCCCCCGGACTTCTGGTAACCCCCGGCGGGCCACACGTACCCCCAAAACTATTGAGAGACACGGAGTGCCGAATTCGCTCAACGTTCCCCATTTCCTCTCCGCAACGTACATCTCTCCTCACCGTGGCATGTTACGTGGCTCCCAACCTCCTCAATTTCTCGACTTTCGGCGCCCACGACTCAATCCCCACGCAACTGTGCCCGCTACAATGCCGTCGAAAAACCTGAAAAGCTGGTTCAATGAGAAATGCTTGTTTGTCAAAATGCCCATCAAAGCCTCGAATTTGAACAATCATGCTGCGACGCGGGGTACAATTTCACTGCCTATCGGGCCTCGCAGAGACAACTGAGCACCCAAAAGATCTGAGAGAGCGTGATCCACCGCCGCTTTACCATGGTAAATTCATCCCCCTCTTCCTCCGGAACCCGGGAGTACCCCCCCCCCTCCGAAAATCCCCCCCCCTGCTGGACCCCCCCATCCCCCCCGCAAAACCCCCCCCACACCCCCTCCGGAAAACTGGGGGGGGGTCACTACCGGTTAAGAATTCGACCCCCCCCCCACCGAAAACAGAGGGGCGTCACCACCAGTTCGACCCCCCCCCCCAGAAAACCAGAGCAAGGGTCACTACCGGTTCGACTCCCCCCTCCGGAAAACCGGGGGGGGTCACTACTGGTTCGAACCCCCCCCCCCCTCGAAAACCGGGGGGGGTCACTACCGGTTCGAACCCCCCCACACACCTCCAGAAAACCGGGGGGGGTCACTACCGGATCGAACACCACCCCTCTCGAAAACCGGGGGGGGGTCACTACCCGTTCGAACCCCCCCCCCACGCTCACCGCCAGCTGACAACTCTAAGTCCCTACCACCGTCCGCACCACATCCCCCACTGCTGTCCCCAGCACCACTGTCCTCACCACCACTGTCCCCATTGTTCCCACCGCGGTCCCATTCTCCCTACTTTTTACCTAACAGCGAAGACTGATAGGTTTCTAGTGGTGTCAAAAGAGAGCATCTTGACTCCCCAAGGGGGTCTGGGCGGATGCCGGGGGAATCTGGGGGATCCGGGGACTCCCCCAAACCCTATCCCAGGCCACATGTTGACTGCCAGGAGCCAACAGAACACCATTCCCAGGCCACATTTTGAACGCCCGGAGCCAACTGTAGGCCACTTCGTGTTCTTCGTGTTCCCAGAATACCTCTCCCAGGCCACATTTTGAATGCCCTGAGCCAACTGTAGGCCACTTCGTGTTCTTCGTCTTCCCAGAACACCATTCCCAGGCCACATTTTGAATGCCCGGAGCGGAGCCAACTGTAGGCCACTTCGTGTTCTTCGTCTTCCCAGAACACCATTCCCAGGCCACATTTTGAATGCCCGGAGCCAACTGTAGGCTACTTCATGTTCTTCGTGTTCCCAGAACACCATTCCTGTACCATATTTTGATTGCCCGGAGCCAACTGTGGGCCACTTCGTGATCTTCGTGTTCCCAGAACACAAGTCCTGTGCCATATGTTGAATGCCCGAGCTGAGGCAAGCTGAGGCCGAGGCAGGCTGAGGCCGAGGCAGGCTGAGGCCGAGGCAGGCTGAGGCTGAGGCCGAGGCACGCCGAGGCAGGATGAGGCTGAGGCTGAGGCAGGCTGAGGCTGAGGCAGGCTGAGGCTGAGGCTGCCGCAGGCTGAGGCCGAGGCAGGCTGAGGCTGAGGCTGAGGCAGGCTGAGGCTGAGGCTGAGGCTGAGGCAGGCTGAGGCTGGGGCTGAGGCTGAGGCTGAGGCTGAGGCTGAGGCTGAGGCAGAGGCAGAGGCTGAGGCCGAGGCAGGCTGAGGCTGAGGCAAGCCGAGGCAGGCTGAGGCTGAGGCTGAGGCTGAGGCAGGCTGAGGCAGGCTGAGGCTGAGGCCGAGACAGGCTCAGGCCGAGACAGGCTGAGGCTGAGACTGAGGCTGAGGCTGAGGATGAGGCCCAGGCAGGCCGAAGCTGTGACAAGGTGAGGCTGAATGGGGGGGAAGGGGGGGAGGGGGTGGGAGGAGGGGAGGCTGAGGCAGGCTGAGGCCGAGGCAGGCTGAGGCTGAGGCAAGCCGAGGCAGGCTGAGGCTGAGGCTGAAACTGAGGCAGGCTGAGGCATCCGTAGGAATCCATAGGAATCCTTAGGAATCCCTAGGAATCCCTAGGAGTCAGTAGGCATCCTTAGGAATCCGTAGACATATTTAAGCATCCTCAGGAATCCTTAGGAATCCCTAGGAATCCCTCGGAACCCCTAGGAATCCCTGGGAATCAGGATTCCTAAGGATTCCTAAGGTTTCCTAAGGATTCCTATGGATTCCTAAGGATGCCTAAGGATGCCTTAGGAATCCCTAGGAATCCTTAGGATTCCATTGGATCCTAAGGCCGTTGCCACTGCGAATGTCATTGCGAATGCGACTGCGACTGCGAGAACAGCAGAATTCTACAACTGGATTCTCACCTGAATCTTAAGGGGAATGCTTCCAGATATGCTTATACACATCGCTGTTATAAGGTTGCTTTGCCGGGATAATCTCACGGTCCCCACTGCTGTCCAACTGTCCCCACTGTTCCTACCACTGTCCCACTGTCCCCGCCGCTGTCCCACTGTGCTGTCCCACCGTCCCCACTGTCCCCATCACTGTCCCACTGTCCCAACTGCCCCCACCACTTTCCACACTGTACTACTGTCCCACCACTGTCCTCACCACCGCCTTCACCACTGTCCCCACCACTACCGTCCCCACCACTGTCCCACTGTCCCCACCACTGTCCCGCTGTCCCCTCACCACTGTCCCACCACCACCGTCCCCACCACTGTCCACACCACTGTCTCACTGTCCCCGCACCGCTGTCCCCACCACCACCATTCCCACCACTGTCCCAACATCCCCACCATTCTCCAACTGTCCCGAGGAGCGGGCAATGTTTGCCAGCGGCGAAAGAGGGGGGGAGGGGTTCGAACCGGTAGTGACCCCCCCTCGGTTGTCGAGGGGGGGGGCCGGCAGTGACCCCCCTCCCTGTTCATGATGGACTGGGGGGGGGGGTCGAACCTGTAGTGACCCCCCCCCCGGTTTTCGAGGGGGGAGGGGGCGGGTTAGGAACCCCCAATGACCCCCCCCCGGTTTTCCGCCAGCAGCGGTAGAACACGCTCTTTCGAAAATCTAGACGCGCTCCGTGCAGCAATTTCTCAATGGAGAAGGGAAATCTTTCCCGGTGGTCCGCTAATGCCACGTCGTTGGGTGAAACGACAAACCTCCTGTGCAGAGCGCACCCCGAAAAATAGCAAGCATGCGTTTCATGGAAAGCCAAGAGCGGGCCACCAAAGTCTGGTCGCCCGCAAATGCGATGTGAATCAAACGTTCCCCACGCCACGCCTGGCCTACATTCGTGCCGTACGCTTTGCTATTCAAGCCGCTGGCTTCGCGGAGAGCACCATCCAGCTCCATATTAAGCAACATCGGGGGGAGTGGGTCTCCCTGTTTTACTCAAATCTTCCACGACAAAACCACGCCTGAGGGCGCCGGACCATGGCGCCACGTATCAGTTCGCATCACAATGCAAGCGACGGAATGCACCGAATACCTGAGCATCAATACCAGTTTCAAATAATAATTCGACTCGTGATGAATGGCGAACTCAGTCAAAAACCTTTTCTACGACTCTAGCGTCGCCACCCACAGTTTTTCTCCCTAGTCTAACGACTTCATCTGCACGCCCTCGCCCCGGTCCGAATCCCTGCTCTCGCCCCGAAAACGGGGCGAAGACAACTTGGGGTGAGGACATATCGAGAATCTCTGAGATCCGGCGGCTCTCAGAGCGTTCCGGAACGCTCTGGAACGGCGTTGTCCTCGAGTATAAACATGGGGCAAACGGGGCCTCAAGGAAACGGCTTCTGTACCCCAGGGCCTTCGCCAGGACGACATCCTCATCCTGAGCCGTTCTCTGCCAGCCCCGGAGCCCGTGGAAAGCCCAGAGAGCCTGAAAACGGCACAAACCCTCGAGACTGTGGGAAAAGAACACACGCTGTGGGAAAAAACACACGCAACGTGGGGAAAAAGCACACACACACACACACACAAAAAAAAACATACAAAAACACACAGGTGTGTGCTTCCCTCAGGACCCGTTTCCCCACTGGCGATTCCCGCCCTCCGCCCGCCGTCCGCCAGCATCCGCTGGCGGGCACGCTGCCGTCTTGCCTCCGCCGACTCCCGCGGGCCTGCCGCCAAGGGCGAGGTGCACCGCGGGCGGGGCTCTCCCTGGAGTGCTCACAGAGGGCACCAGAGCCACCCCCCAGAAGTGGCACCTCAGCAAGCGAAGCCGTGCAGCAGACGCACCTGGGCGACGAAAAGAAAGGGGTCCTACGCGAGATGGCATAGCGACCTGACGCCGCGGTTGCCGCGGGCCGACAGCGCGGCACGCTAGATTGGAGACCAGGGCGTTCACGCGCCATCTTACGCGGGCAACTTACGCGCCAATGTCGGCGCCATCGAATCCGTTTGGAATCGAGCAGGGCAGGGCAGCGCAATTCGTAGAACGCCAAGGGCAGATTTTAAAGGCCGGATATCATGGGTCGGGGAGGCGGGGTCCGCCATTGGCAAAAAATGTCGTAGCGGGTCCCGAACCACGATGTGCAAAATTCCTGGGCGCTCCTGGGCGGTCTTGGGCGCTTCGTGGATACATCGCGTGACTTGTCCAAAGGCTTCGAAAGCGTGGAGCGGAACCTGCGCTTCCAACATGCACTGGGATAGCCCTGGGGCTCTCGTGTGAGCCTCCGGGGCCGTCTTGGAGGCCCTCGGTTGGGCCCACCCAATATGTCGAAATCTGTGCAATAACTTTGAAGGTGCTGCATGACTTGTTCATCCACATCATCCCTCCTCCCTGGAGGAGGGGGAGAGGAGACGACGGCGACGACGCCGACGACAGATGCGAAGAGGAGAACGACTGGTGTCCCCAGCCTTCCGCGGCGCATGGAGTACTTGGTGCAGTTTTCCCGACCCAGGTACGCGGACTCGAAATCTTGCTCTGGAGAGCGGTCTGGCTTACAAAACAGGAGTGGGAGGAGGGGAGAGGGAGGAGCGAAGAGAGGCGTGGCCAAGCAGGAGTGGTGAGGGAGGAGGCCAATAGGGAGCAGCAGGAGGAGGAAGAGGAGAGGGAAGGGTGGAGGAGGAGACGGGAGATGGCGAGGAAAGTGCACGAGGAGAGGGGGGGAAGGGGGGAAGAAGAAAGGGAGGGGGAGGGCGCAGGGGATGAATAGGAGCGTGGCTAAGACAAGAAGGGCGAGGGAGAAGGTGAGGCCATCCTCCTTTTGCTTCTCCCCCCTCTCATTCAATTGTGCTTCCTCCTCCTCCTCGTCCACTTCATAGCTGCGGTCATATTCATCTTACTCCCTCTCCTCTTCCTCCTCCTCCTCCTCCTCCTCCTCCTCCTC